TCTTTCAAATAAATAAATAAATCTTTACAAAAAAAGAATATGAAGAAACTGGGTCACTCATACTTTGCCAATAGGAATGTAAAATGATACAGCCACTCTGGAAAATTGTTAGTTTCTTATAAATGTAAACATGCAATTGCCATACAACCTGTAAATTACATTCTTGGGCATTTATCCCAGAAAAATGAAGACTTGTGTGTACCAAAACCTGTACACAAATATTCATAACTGCTTTATTTGTCGTAGTAAAAAACTGAAGTAGCCCAGATGTTTTTCATGGATGAATGAATGATTAAACAAACTGGGGAATATTGGTAAGCCATACAAAAGAATAAACTACTGATACATGCAAAAACTTGGATGAGTGTCCAGGGGATTGTGCTGAAAGAAAAAAAGGACAATCCCAAAAGGTTTTGTATTGTATTAATTTATGTAACATTTGTGAAATTAGAAAATTTTACAAATGGAAGACAGATTAAAAATGGAAGAAGACAAATGGAAGATTGCCAGTGGTTAGGGACAGGGATGGGCAGAGGCAGGAGGGGCTTGGGTGTGGTTATAAAAGGGCAGCAGGAGGGACCCTTGGGTGTTGGAACTGTTTAGTATCTTGATGTGGTGGCAGATACCTAAACCTACACAAGTAATAAAATCATATAGAACACACACACACACACACACAAGAAGGACTTAAGTAAAACTGGAAAATCTGAATATAATCAGCAGATTGTATTAATGTCCATATCTTGGTCATAATATTTTACTGTAATTTTGCAAAATGTTACCATTGAAGGAAACTGGAAAAACTACACAAGGGATCTCTCTGTATTATTTCTTACAACTGCATGTGAATCTATAATTATCTCATAAAAATTTCAATTAATAAGAAGAAAAAAAATGAAAAATGAAAAATAAATCAAAGAATGTCTGTCACAGTGATTGTTACATACCAAACAACCCTCTTTTATTTCAGGCAGCATTATTTCAATCATGCAAACCCAACCAACCCCAAGAGTTCTGTGCCTCTGAGTTGAGAATCTCCCCAAGCAACAGGCAGCACCCACAGGGAATATGTGTGTGTCCGGTCCTAGGAAGGGCCAGACTTCTCTCATCAGAGAGATTACCAGAAGAAGCCTGAAAAAGGAAGGGAGGTTGGAAATTTAATGAAACACAGAGAAAACAACAACAACAACAACAACTCTTCAATGCCTATTTTGCTTTAGTCTTCTAGACCTTGGAAAATAATGTCCAAACTTAAAAAGAGCATACCAAAATGATCAGAGTGAAAATAAAGATCTAAGATAAGTGAGTAGATGGGAAAAGAGCATCTATTTATTTTTTTAAAGAACTAAAAGCTTCAGCCTAGATAAATACCATGCCATAACATTGAAGAAACTTGGCGATGTAATCAAGATAACACTGTCAGGGGGCACCTGGGTGGCTCAGTCGGTTAAGTGTCCAATTCTTGATTTAGGCTCAGATCATGATCTCAGGGTCATGGGATCCCGAGCCCCACATCGGGCTCCATGCTCAGCACATGGAGTCTGCTTGAGATTCTCTCTTTCCTTCTCCCTCTGCCCCTCCCCACACTTGCACACTCAAATAAATAAATAAATAAATAAATAAATAAATAAATAAATAAATAAACTCTTTTTAAAAAAAGAAGAAAACACTGTCAGTAATTTCGTAGAATATTGGTTGAAGAAATATCAGAGGGATGAGTTGAGCTAATGCTATCTGGATGCATTAAAAGGATAAGATGACAGATTATAGAACTACTACAACAGTACAAAATTCTCAAGTGGATTATTAAATAAGATAATTAAACATTTATGAGACAAGAAAACTGCCACATAGCATGGGTGTATTAAGTTAAGTGAGGGTGACATAGTGAAAAGAACTGGATTCAGATGACCTAGGCACATGCCTTAATCTGTCAATAAACAGCTGTGTGGACATGGGGCAATTGCTTGAATTTTTTGAGCTGCAGTATCTTTATCTGGGAAATGTTATAAAACTATATGTTCTTTAATGGGTAGTTTAGAATCTATTCACAAAAAATCTGTTAGCTCTAAATGTGCCAAATTTACCTCAATTCTTTTAACCAGGTTGTCTCTTGATAAAAGAGCTTCCATTTATTAAGAAACACATCTGTGCTGGGTATTTATGTGATTTTATAAAGTACACACTTTGGTCCTATGACAGATGGGTGTTATTAATCCCTTTTTACAAATGATAAAATCAAGGCTGAGTGGCTAACTAATAGATCAGGTGAATCAGGATCACAGTGTGTCCATCCTGATAGCAGGGGATCAGTTGACCAATTTCTCATGCTATTATGAGAAAGATGAGTATATTTAGGATGGATAACACTACCATGAGATAAGACTACAGTGAACATTACCATAATAATTCTTAGTTGTTTGGATAGTTATACCTAAACTGTGTTGATAATGAGTCCATGTTTTCATTTCATGGAAAGTTTCTTCTGATGTTTCTTTGACCTCAGCCTGTCCAGCTATTTCTTTCCTTTTTTTAATAAACAACTTGGTTAAAAGAATAGAAGAAATTCTCATCAGATTTAAAAACAAAAACAAAAAAAGGAGAAATATTCAGATAAATAATTTATTCATATATTCCTTTATTCAAGTCTCACATCCAAAACAGGATTTAAGGTAATTTAATTCTTTCACAGTGTGATCAGTATTCAAAGAGTGAAATACATTAGTATTGAAAGCAAATTTCTGTACTTGGCATATAAACTATCTTGCTAGATAAGGAAAGACCTTAACATTGAACAGGGTTGGGATTTGGGGAACTGGAACAGAGGATGAGAATGAATGTGATTGGCTTTTGGGTTGAAATTTGGAGCTTCCAAAAAGGACTGGAAAGGGGGTATCTAGAGTGATATCTAAATACATTTTTTTCCTTAGTCACAAGACCTTGGATTAACAAAAATTTTCTATAAAAACAATAATTTTCGGGGCGCCTGGGTGGCTCAGTTGGTTAAGCGACTGCCTTCGACTCAGGTCATGATCCTGGAGTCCCGGGATCGAGTCCCGCATCGGGCTCCCAGCTCAGCAGGGAGTCTGCTTCTCCCTCTGACCCTCCTCCCTCTCTGCTCTCTCTCTCTCTCTCATTCTCTCTCTCTCAAATAAATAAATAAAATCTTTAAAAAAAAAAACAATAATTTTCTATTGGACAGATCCAGTTTATTTCAAGTTTATTTCAAGTGCAAATGAAACCAACCATGTGAAAATTCTAGCACCAAAGGCTGATGTAAATTTTAGTTATAGTCACAGAAGAGGGTGTTCAGACCCTAGGAGGCAATATAGTCTTGCAGTTTCTGCTTTAGCCAGGCCACATCTTGAGGATGGTAGGTTTCCTTCCTTCTGAATCGTGTAGTTACTAACCAGAGGAAGTTCTTGGAAGGTGTCCAAGGAATTGAAAGGTCTGAAAAGCATGTCAAATGAGGAACAGCTGGGACAACCAGAAAGGAAAAGACTTAGGAGTGACATGAAAGCTTCTTTCAAATATAAGAAGAGCTGATGTTTGGAAAAGATAGTTGGTTAGTTCTGAAACTCTCAGAAAGCAGAAAGCGAAACTGGAAGAAGTGGGTGGAACAATTAAAAAGCACTTTCTCCAGTGAGAGCCTTTCCAAAGTTGAATGCGGGCACTTCTAAAGGTCAAAAGCCTCCTGGGTTACTCATTATCTTCAATTCAGTGAATGTCAGTTGAGATCCTTCTTGTGCCATTCTAAATGCTTGAAATGTGTCAGTGAGGAAAACAGACAAGAATCCTCACTCTTGGGTGTTTACATTCTGGAAGGTATGGGGAAACTTTTAATGAGCAATGAAGCCAATCAGTAAATTATGTAGTCTGTTGGAAGGTGAAAGAGTTATGGGAAAAGAGTAGAATAAGACCAGAGCGATGAGAGGAGGCGGAAGGGGAATGGGGCAGACCTTAGTTACAGATACGCTGTCAGAGCAGGTCAGCCTCATTGAGGAGGAATTTGAGCAAAGTCTTTGGTGAAGGGTGGGAGGGAGTTCTCTGGGGGAAGAGCATTCTAAGCAGAAGAAAAAAAAAAAAAAGCCAAGCATCAGCTTGAGATGGGAGTATGCTGGCAAGCAAGACTCCTCTGCAAGTGTTTAAGCAGAGCTTGGCAGAGCATCTGAGAGAGAAGCTGAAAAGACGATTTCTGGTTTTGGTGAGAGCTTGGACTCCATGACTTCTGAGGTCTCTTCCAACTTCTCATATTCCTTGAGCTTCTGATTCACTGATAATTCAGAATAGTTAATTTGGTAGCAATGAACAGGATAGATTCAAGAGTGGAAACACCAGACCAGGGTTACAAATAAATGGTTGAAGGGCAAGACAGATAGTGTAAACATTTCATAATGCTGACAATGTATTCACATATTGTAGTAATATTGTGTAAATCATGCAAAGCATGTGTGCAGACCAAATCTTGCCCAGGGGCCACCAGTTTGAGACTTTGCATTGGAGAAAGTGAAATCAGTTAAGAGTGTAATGATGTAAGCCACACGTAAGGTCGTGGACAGAAAGTCAAAGGAGAATAAAAAAATAAAAGAAGAGAGCCAAGTCTTTGGTGAGAATTCTTCCTTTGTTATGATTTGACAGAGAACAAAAAAAGAAGAAATAATCAAAGATTACTGTGTGGTTGAGACTCCAAGAGACTAGTTCACACTGCCTTTGCTCTTTCTTAAGCAAGACTCACATTGATTTTCTTTTTCCTGCCTATTATCAATAACTAGATACTTACTTGCCTTTTCATTGTCCTCTTACAAGTAATCACCTATAATTTAGGTACTTAGAGAAAATATCAGCCAGTCCAACCTTTCTCAATTATTTTGAATCTATAATGTAATTATAGTCATAAAACTTTTGAACAGAGGCTCAGAATTAATTAACTGCAACAATTACAGAGACACAGATAAAACTTTTACTCTTGATGTTTAACTTGTCCTGTTTCCTTGTTGCAGGTGCCTTCATTTGCAAGATGCTGCCATTTGTCCAGTCTACTGCTATCATGACAGAAATTCTCACCATGACCTGCATTGCTGTGGAAAGGCACCAGGGACTTGTGCATCCTTTTAAAATGAAGTGGCAATACACCAACAGAAGGGCCTTCACCATGCTAGGTGAGGATGTACCAGGGGCAGCATTGCCATTCTTTATTACAGAACACACAGAATTTCTTCACAGTGAACCGTATCGATGAACCAGACGAGTAGCCTCTTGTCTAGCTTGTAGGCATCGGGGTGTAACTTCAGGATTTTAGACCTCTCCCCATTTACCCTGACCCTCACTCCTTTTCTCCTTTAGGCCTACCCCCACACTTAAAATCTCCCATTTCAGAGTTACTTCTTCAGTTTAAGTCTTAACTTTCAAGCTCTAGTTCCAGCTAATTTAAGATAACCTTTCAGTGGCATTACTACATTAACATTTATTAGATTCGTAAACGGTCATCCTCAGGTAAGAGGCATCTAAGCTAAAATGCCCTTCTTAGAACAGGTGGATTTTGATAGGGGAAGGAAAGGTGCTTTTTAGAAAGGTAAAGAATAGGGGTGCTGCTCAGAGGTGGCCCCAGTGGTGAGGCCGCAATAGCAGAAGTCCACAGGGCTCATGAGATCCCTGGGTGCTGAGTGCTAGAGGTGCCTGACGAACACAAATTCCGTCCACTTCATAATTTTGCTTCAGGCGTTCCTGAATCCTCAATTTGCTGTAACTGTTCCTGAGTCAGCAAGTCATGATGAGCAGCTACCTTTTGATAAGTGGCAAACTTGAAGCAATGTCCTAAAACCTAGCATAGTAAGAGAAGAATTTCTCTATTCGATCATTATCATTGAGGCATTTAAAATTTTAATGTGCTTCCCAGTGGTTTGAATGTATGATAGTTCATCAATGAGAGATTGAGGGAACAACTAATGCGATAACTAAAGAGCAATTTTTACTACTATCTCACTTGAGAGGAAATGAGTAAACATTTATTTCTGCTATAAGAGTTTAGCCAGCATGGGAGAGTAGAATTACAGAAAGAACTCCTGAAGTCTTTGCAATGCCAAACTCATTTTACATAGTTTGAAATGAATAGATAAATCAACAGGGAAAATATTCATCAGTTTTAGTTAGTTAGTTTCAAATGTATGGCATATCCTCCCTACAAAGAATTCAAAGGCCTCATTGCTTTTAATAATTGACATCTTTCCACCTTCAAAACATCTGAAAAGCATGTGTGGGTGTGGAAAGCCGGTGAAAAAAGGAATACATGGAGGAGGGAAGTTATTAAAAAAGGAAAGAGAAGTAGAGAGTCTCAAGATCTGAAGGCAAAGTCAATAACAGGAAGTCAAGGCAATTTATACTCAAAAAAGTCATGGGAGACAGAAAGGATTTTAAACCAAGAAGTCTCATCTCCCCATGGGACTTTCATGCAGTGTTGCCTGATATCTTCTCTCTAGCTCTGTTACACTGGGAACCAGCCTTGTCTTCATGCCCAGTACCTCCTAGCTGAGACTGTTTTGCCCCCAGGCCCACCACCAGCAGCGACCTGCCAGACTCACTTGCCCACAAGTGTTCACAGATTATACCAGTAATATAAATCTAACTCTGGCCCTTCAATCCCTGAACAGGCAGTAAACCCAGAAGGACTGGCAATGAAGTCAATCCAATTAGACTCAATTCCTCCAGAATTTCTACTAAAGATTGGAAAAGTGATTGGACATAAGATAATATGAGATACTGATCGGACTAGAATAGAATATATGTGTATGGCAATGTGGAGAGAGATTGATTTGTGAGTCAGAACTGTCTTAAATCTTTGAATAATAATGACTCTCTATAGGCAGTGCCAGTTCATGTGTTTCTTTATAATAAACCCCAGTGACACAATAGCCAAACTGTGGAAAGAGCCAAGATGTCCATCGACAGATGA